AGCATCTTGTAGAACAGAAATTAAAACCAAATGCACAACCACAAAAAAAAAAAAAAAAAAAATGTTTAAAAAAAAAAAGATCAATCCTCATAATATCAAGGATATTTCAAGCAATCAATTAAAAAGGCTGGAACAACTAGAGTAATAAAAAGCAGTGAATTATAGCCCAAAATGCACGTGTACTCATTTGTCAAAGCAGACGCAGAGTGCGGAGGCTGCTGAGCTGTTGACAGAGTATGTACTGCTCTCACAAGACTGGAGATGGGGCCCGACACTCACGCCAGGAACCTCACAACCACCCGGACTCCAGCTCTAGGGACTGAAGGCTACGGACACCTGTGCTACACACGTGCACAAACCAATACACAGACGCACACATAGAACTTAAAATAATAAATAATAATAAATGTGGTAGAAATGACTGAATCAATCAGTAAACAAAGAACTTATTTCCAGAAAGCTTATGTGAACACCCCTTCCCTCTAGGAAGTAGAGCACAACTCTCCGCTTCCTTGCACCACAAAAAGAAACTGTCTTCCACAAAAGGCAATATTCAAAGGGAAGGGCTTCACACGAGGAACTCCGCAGTGAACAAATCTGACAAAGCACAACTGACTGTCACAGGTCAACGGTGTAGTCAAGAGTGACAGGCTCTCCTCCCGTGCTAATTGTAAGAAAAACGCTGGATAAATCCTACAAATGCATGTACAGGGTACCTGAACAGTGATCTGCAAAACTATCAGCTCCTCAAAAGCCAGGCTGTGGTGCACACGCCTTTCATCCCAGCACTTGGGACGCAGATGCAGGCAGATCTCACCAGCTGGATCTAGAGCGAGTTCCAGGACAGTCAAAGCTACACAGAGAAACCCTGTCTCGAAAAACCAAAAAGGAAAGAAAAACGGCAATAAAATCTGAGAAATACCAAGATGAAATCCTGGAACAGCAAAAGGACAAGGGAAAAACTGACGCAATGTAAGCGTCACACTAATGAAATCCATCACTAGGAAAATGGGATACACAGGTGGTGCCTTTATATTATCTGTTTAGTAATTCCGTAAGTCTAGCCACGGAATCATCGTAAATAATCTAAAACATTACACTATTTTTAAATCTATTAGTATTTTATTTCTGTGTATTGAGAAACTAGCAATTTAGTTTACAATTTAAGTATTACTATTTTAACTACCATATGTATAACAATTCAAATTCAAAATCTTTTTAAAGAAAAGCACAAAACTATAAGCTGAACTCTTTAATACCAGCAACTTAGAATCATGAGTAAATATCTAGGTATTCAGTCCGGAGCTATGGCACGTACACCTGCATACACACATGAACACAATAAACAGATAAATCATTAATAAATGAATCAGGAGCTAGAAAGACGGCTCACTGGTTTAGAACACTTGCTGCTCTTGAAGAAGACTCAGCAAATAATGTACACATAATAAAGACAAATAGGCACATACATGTACACCAAAATGTAAGTGATTTAAAAACATTTTCAAGGACCAATGGACGACAGCTTGTTTGAGCACAGTTTCACAGAACATGATTCAAGATAAGGCTGAAGAATTATCACTATTCAGTTTTCTTTTTACTCTAAAAGCAATGCAAAGTCACAAAAGGGCTAGGGAGAGAGTGACAATCAGCACATTCATAATAAGTCAATGCTCTCAGGCCAAAGGCAGACAAAATGAAGGACATTTACAAGTTTCAGGCTAGGTGATAGTGTACAAACTAAAGCAGTGCAAGGAAGCAAGGAAAACATATTCAAGAACCATTATAAAGAAAAATTAACTACCTGTTGACACATTTGATATTATAAAGAAGAGGATGTAAGGATTGTTCCACATTTTCAAGACTTTATATGCACAGACAATGCCATCACTCACTGAAAACAGAAAAAAAAAAAGAGCAATGAATGTTTGAGAGGTAGGAAAGGAAGGAAGAAAAATGAGTCTAGTTTTGGATATAGATCTGAGACATCTTTAACTCTCAAGGAAGGATATCAACCAGATAGAAAGGAGAACAGATCTACACTCAAAGGAAACAGAAAACGTATACGCCCTAAGGAAAGCTGACAGTTTTATCCTAGAAAGAGCTAACAGCATAGCAATCCCCAAATATGCAAGAAAATCATTAGACTTAGACTTTGACCATCTGGATTTAGTTAAAAGGCTAAGAGAAAACACAGCTATATTCTGTCATCTAAAACAAAACTGCTAAGCACCACAGGGAAACAGAAACTTTTTACATCTTGGTCCAGTAATATACTAATTATGTAACAGATCATAGCACTTCAACGTTTTGGGCAGGCTGGAAAATGCTGTTAGAAGTGTTCTAAATCTGTGCTGTCCTGAAAGGCAGGCAGCAGCACAGGTGACCACCGGGGCAGTGACATGGGGCTGGTACAACTGAGAAAAGTTTAATCTCAGATAACTTAAGCAGCCACAAGGTTAGACACTACCATGTCAGAATGAAGAGGCTTGGAGCTTCCTAGGGCTACTTCATGTGATCCTCAACTACATTTTGAATTAACTGGGAGGGGACCTGAGACCTGGGAGTGAGAATGGGATACTAGTAGAATTTTTCAATCCATCTGCTTATTACGTGGTTGGAAATTTCATTCCAAGACTCTATAGTGTAAGGCTGGAGAGATGGCTCAGCAGGTGGACTTATGGTTCCAAACTCACTCTGCCAAGGTTAGTTTCACTAACTAACTCCAGCAAACTTGTATCATCTCCAGGGAAGCCCTACCAGCTACCAATCTACAGGCCTTCTACAGATTCTTTTTGTCGTATGTTTCAATATGACATTCAAGCAAACTAACAGAGCAAAAGATCCTTTTCTTAATGTCTAATATCCAATCAAATAAGATATCTCCAACTCATTCTAAAAAAAGTTAATGGAAGTATCCTAGAAGCTTTCTACAGTTACACACCTACAGTCAAATCCGGGCTTTACCAGAATCATTATAAGCAAACTGACTTAACTCTTATTGGGCATTTAGTTTCAGCCTCTTCACCTGTAAAAGTGGTCCTCAACCTTCCTAACGCTGCAACCCTTTAATACAGTTCCTCATATTGTGGTGACCCCAACCATAAACTTATGTTCATTGCCACTTCATAACTGGAATATTGCTACTGCTATGAATTATAATGTAAATAAATATCTGTGTTCCAGATGGTCTTAGACAACCCCTGTGAAAGGGTCTTCAACCCCCAAAGAGGTCATGACCCTACAGATTGAGAACCAGAGAGAGCCACTTCCTAAGGTGGCTGGAGGGGGAGATAATCATGAAGAGCAGTTGGCCTCATGGACACAGCAAGCAAATAAATGCACCTGTCGCTGCGGTGCCATACAGAATCCAGCTTCTGACTCTGCCCTTACGTTACAAGCAACTAGCTCAGCACTGACTGCTCCACCAGCTGAGTACTCCACACTGAGGGAAAACCATGTTGTTGTTTGAAGAGAAGGAGTCGGTTACTTTAGACAAATGATGATAAGCTGTTGAGGTCGCACTGTATGAAATGAGCTTCAAAACCTTACAACTTGCAAACACTTCACAGCAAATCAGGAAGTAAGCACGAATTCCAAGATTTACATTACGCTTGGAAAGAACCTCACTTTCAAGAAACATAATTAAAACAAACAATTATAGAAGAGGAAAGAGAAAGGGTGTTAAAAATTGCCAAAGCCATATGGGCTACATAAAACACCTTTTCCCCCTTCCTTAGAGAAGCCCAAGGCAGCCATCTCCAGTTAAAAACAAGACCATAAAAGCAAAGACAACCGTGACTTCAGTGCTTTCTTCTGAGTTGTACCTAGTGGATTGGGGCTATTTAGTATGCCTTAAATAATGATAAACACATCAGTTTATAAATTCCCTGTATTAGCAAAGCAAAGGGCACAGTCAGCTATCCCTAAAAAGAAACCCCAGACCACAAATCAGGAACTCACTTGGTTCCTTCTGTAGGCCCAGGAAGGAATTTAGAAACACTGCAATTTTGAAGCAGTGAGATTTCAGTACCTGGCTGTAATCCCTGCACTCTACTCTCCTTAACCCCTAAATAAGCCATTTGCAATTTGGGGAAACAACAGCTCCATGAATAAACCATTCCCATTAGCTTCAACAAGACACTAGGCCACTGCTTCCCCCCACCCCTTGGTTTTCCAGACAGGGTTTCTCTATGTAGCCTTGGCTTTCTTAGACTTGATATGTAGACCAGGCTGGACTCGAACTCCCACAGATGCGCCAGCCTCTTTCTCTGAGTGCTGGGATCACAGGCGTGCACCACCACACCCGGCTCAGACCAGCGCTTTTTAATCTTGCAGAACATTATACATGTCTTTTAAGAATTTGATAAAAGAATGCATTTACCCAGAAAACACACATACACACTTTTCACATAATTTCAGTAGTGGGGATAAAAAAAAAAAAAAAAAAAAAAAAAGATTTAAAACAATGGAAAAAAAAAAATCACTGATGTCTCCTGATGCCACTGATGCCCCTCCGGAGGCCCCGACCCAGGAGTAAGGCAAGGGTAATTCAAGAAAAGAGACATCTTACAAAAAAACAAAACAGTTCCGGCAGAGCGTTTAATTCTGAAACTCATAATGGACATATGCCGCTTTCCTAAGTGTTAGACTTGTAGTCAGAAGACAGTGTTAATCACGATGGACGAGGTAAACAAAATATAAGCAAATAAAAACAAGAAAAGTGTAACAGTCACAGCAGTGCTTGGAAAGAGCGGCAAGGAAATGAAACTGTCACCTTCAACGAAGTTCATTAACTGTCAAGTACGAACACAGCGTCACAGTTGGGAAAGCAACACGTTGATGGAAAGCCCTGACATTCTTTCATTCTTTTTTTTTTTTCTCTCTGCCCCCTTCTGATCAGGTAAGAACAGTGTAAGTCCACTGCGGGAGGGACGAACAGAAATCCTGAGAGGGCGACTTAAATGATCTGCAGGAAGTGCAAAGTACGAACTTTGGGCATGAGGAGGGCTCGGGAGGAAGATAAGAACAGCGCCAAGGAAGCAGTACCGGGGGGAAGTCTGTCCTTGCCCACGGTCAGCGCGGCAGAAGGCCGGGCCACCATTTCCCCGTCCAAACCCAGCATTCCTCGGACGCCCCCGCCAGCGCTCAGGCCGGGGACGTTCCAGGCGGGGCTCCCGCGCGAGCGTGCGGCACCCCCGCCGCGGGACGCGGGGAAGCAAGCGCCCGGGACCGCCACCTCCACCCGCGTCCCGTCCGCCGCGGCCCCGCCCTCACCTGCGTGTGAAGCCCGCGGCGCTCGCTCTCCGGGCTCCGCTCTCCGCGCTCGCCGCGCGAACCGGTCGGCGCGGGGCCGGGCGGGCGGAAGCGCGGCCGCCCGGGGGCGGGAGCAGCTGGCGGTCACGGGCCAACCGCCGACGACACCGCACCCGCGGCCTCCCGACCCGGCCCCCGGCGCTGGCTCGCTGGCCGCGGAGCCGGAAGTGAGGAGCCGGAAGTGCGGGGTCCCGGGCCCCGGGCCGCTCTCTCTCCCGAGGCCTGGCGGGGGCTCGCGCCACGTCTCTCTGATGCGCGCGCGTCTCCCGGGGGTGGGCCGGGTCCACTCGACTCCGCCCCGGGCCGCGGCCCGGCCGACTACATCCGGGAACCCGCGCGGGCCGTTGCCGGGGTGACCGGGCTGCGTGCGGAGGACCGCGGCTGCTCCGTGAGGCGCAGCCTTCGGGCCGGGCGTCCCCCGTCCTTTTCCCACACCCTTGGCCCGGCGCCTGGACCGTGGAGATGGCGTAGCCCAGCACCGCGTCGCCACCGCGGAGCCGAAGCTCTGTCGACCGCGGGAGGACGGAGAAGATTATTCCAGCCGCGCGGACGGGACGGGGCAGGGATGGAGCGGAAAGCCGCGGGCCGCGCGGGGCCTGACCCGCTTCCCTGGCGGTCCCGCCAGCCCCGCGGCCAGCGCACCCGGCCAGTCCCTGCAGAAGGACCCGCGAGCGCGCGCGGAGGTCTCTTGTGCTCTCCCGCCCCGCTCGCTCTCCGACGGTGGGCCCGTGGTACTTTTCTGTGTTTGGCCGGCAACCGAGTTCTGCTTCCCTGCCCATCCCCATCACCGCTTCAGTAGACCGTCGCGGTCCTGTCCACAGAAACCGCTCAACTGTTCCTTCTCCCACAGCGCTTCTTGGTCGTTTCCTACCAGCCTTTGGGGTCCTGCAGGAATCCTGCCTATCCCCAGGGGTGCTGGATAGAAATGTGCCAGGGTACATTTCCAAGGAGTTTCAACGTCCCTGCAGTGTCCTTCCCCAGACTGGTTTTAGTGACACTACATACATTTCAAACCTAAGTAACGGTATTGTTTTAGACCGCTAGCACATCAACTCTTGTAAAAACGGTGACAAGCCCAAACATAAATATCTTATAAAGAGCCATTACATTCTAAAATTGACCTATGTATTAAAAATGTATTAACACCAATTCACTCAACCCGTAACTATTCTGTGTCTATTGTGGATTTTCCTCCTCCAAGCCATCCTGAGTTGGAACGCATTACTCTTCGGTAATACTAGAAAGGGGCCCCAGTCAAGCGTACCTCCTGCTGCGATTGCATAGGAACAGAGAAGGACTTGTAGCCAAGGGCGCGTGTTGTCCACAAGGCTTCTGAAGGGCGACTTGGAAAACGGGCCTTAATGCCCTCTTGCGTTTGAATGGTGTGGACAGTGACTACTTGGCAGAACTGGCTGTCTCCTTAAGGACTCTTGATGCTGTCTCTTTGAGCTTGGTGGTACTTGGCTTCTTGACTTGGCTGTTTCTCTTTTAGCAGTGTAGTTTTTTGGGGAACTGCTGATGGTTTTTATGTTGATTCTGGTGGGCTTGGAACTCATGCTAATTTTCCTTGATAAAGATGCTGTTAGCTGAGTCCAGTGAGGTTCTGATATTCCACATGATTAGCCCTTATCCACAGTTTCATGATGGCAAGAATATGATGGGATTAATTAATCTTCCCATGGTTTCTATTGCCCCAAGAGAAATACAAATGTGGGCCCATATTTTTAAAAAGCTGGAATCTGCTTCAATTAGTGATGGGAAACCACCATAAACAAACCCTTCTGAACATCATTTGGACGAAAGGAAGCAGAAACATGTGTCCTTTGGATTTAGGGAAATTTTCACTATTTTTTTTTCTTTTTGTATTACTTGAGATAAGTTTTTTGATACCAAACTTTTAAACCTATCCCTACTTAAATGGAGATGTATTTTCACTTTCCTCCTTTTTTACTTCTTGTCTTCCTCTCCTTTTGTCTTCTCTATTTTCTCCCTTCATGCCCCAAAGACTTCTGCCTGCCCATTCTGCTTAGAAAGACCAGAAGACTCCTACTGCTCTCGTTTGGCACATATAACCAGAGAGGTAAGAAGGAGGACTTGCTGTCACATACAATCGTGACACGGAGGTAATTTGTTCACCTTTGCGAAGGTAGATGCTCTTCATTCCCGGGGCTTGTGGAGAACTTTAATAGCCTGCCTCTCTTTCATTTTATAGTCAGGAAGGGAAGGAGACAACCGATTAGTGGCTAACGTTTGTACTCCATTCTGCATGAGTAGGTTCGGATGTTACATCCTGATTGGTTATCAATGCTATTTTCTCAAGAGCAAGAAATTGCTACATCCAGATCTTGTCTATGAGAAGTCTGATAATGTGGAAAATTCCAGCACTCTTCATCAGCAGGTTCCTCTTCGTGGAGCGGTACTTAAGTTACTGATCACACCGTGTGACCTTCAGGGAACGAAGGCGCTAACAGAGGACACTGTGGAATAGAACACTAAAAAGCTCCCAGGTAAGCCAAGTGGTGGCACACACCTTTAATCCCAAGCACTGGAGAGCGGCTAGTCCTAGTTCCAGACCAGCTACAGAGTGCCAGGGCTACACAGAGAACCCCTGTCTCAAACCCCCTCCAAAAAAAAAAAAAAAAAAAAAAAAAAAGCAGCCTGTGCTTTTTGAGCCTATCCCATCCCTTGCCTGGGCAAATCAGGAGAGTTGACCCTGTTGGTGTGGGCCCAGGAGAGCTGGTGGGCAGACCAACTCAGCTGCCACCAGGCCCAGATTTAGAGCTTTGAGCCCAACATCGATCCCATCTGTGAACTGCTGGAGTTCATGAAGGGGCTGGACCTGCAGAACCAAAGCTGCAGAATGCCACAGGGCAACAACCGGATATCTGAGAGGAGTCCTAGTGAGGATGCAGTGTTGATAGTGCAGCAGAAAACAGAGGATTGAACCCACCCAAGACTCCCTGCAGTCAGCATTCAAAAGTAAAGCTGTTAGGGCAGTAGGTTGTGCTGGGTGACAGACCGCAGCTTCCCTGTGGAGATTTTTGTTTGCTTCTTTTGCTTTCTTTGGAGGGCAGATATGGAGGGACAAGAAGATGAATGAGATTGTGGTTCATGATGTGAAATTCACAAATAATCAATAAAAAGTTCTTTAAAAAACTCTGAGACAGGATGAAAAGTAAAGCTTTCCGGTAGGTGTGTATGACCTCACTCAGTTCTATGTGAAGCGCACTAGGTGAGCTTAGTGGTGTTCCAGCTTTTTGCACGGGGGTCACTTATTTATTGCTTCATTTTATGCCATTTATTATCGATAACAGAGGAGCCTTCTCATGTGACTGGTACTTCTCTGCTGTGGACCTCTGATTGGCCTTGGTGGCATCCTGAATAAATTTGACCTCCCTTCACTAGCATGCAAGGCTGTCCAGTGTCTGGTCCCAGGCTTGCTTTCTGTTATGTAACCCCTTCGACCAAGTCAGTACTCTGTATGCCTGGAGTGAGAGGCTCCTTCAGCCAGCACCCGTCTCGGCACAGAGATGAGGTATGATTACACAGAGCTTCCTAGTGTGTTCCTAGCCCTGTAATTTTTCTGTCTTCTATGTTTTCACTGTCTAGTCTTCTCTGCAGAAATGTTTTTACACCTCTCCCTACCCTTGCACTCCTGCTCACTCACCCTTGGCACTAATCTCAGTTACTGCTTCCATCAGAAACCCATTTTGTCCTCCCTGTGAGAATTTGTTCTTGCCACCTCTTTTCTGAAGCCCTTCATTTGAACCCCTGTTGGTGTGCCTCATACTGGAGACTTGTGTCCGTTTCCCTGTTCCTTAAAAAAAATGATCTAACTTCTGTTACCAGGCTTATATGGCAAGTACTTTAGCTGCCGAGCCATCTCATTGGCTCCATCATGATCCTTTGAGCAGACTGACCTTTGGACTCTTTTTATTATTTCATAACCAGGAAGTTCATAGAACTTGGCTTATAGAAACAAGTTATCTGCTGCACACCACGAAACTTCCAGAAGACCAGCAGCTGCTGCTGTGTAGAGTAGTGATATGGGCATACTCACATGGACAGACTCGCTGTTTAGTTGGGAAAGACAAAAAGTGAGTGCTTTTTCAGCCTGAGAAGTGGTTGGATCTCTGCAGAGAACTGTGAAGTACTGTTAAGAACTCAAAAACTTTCTACCCCGGGTATTCTGAATGGGAAGACTGCCAGCATTGTGTCTCCCAGGGCTTAGTTTTTTTTTTTTTTTTTTTTTTTTTTGTTTTTGTTTTTGTTTTTTTACAATCTGGTACAAATAGAACATTAGAATTTAAAAAAGAAAAAAGAAAAAAAGAGGAACTGTGGGTGGGAAAGCTGAACTTAAATTCATTTTCTCACAGGAACAGTCGACATTTGTGGCTGGTGTCTTTTTACTCATATTTTTTCTTGATTTATTTGACAAATTGTTATGAAGAATGCATGGTTTGCCAGACTTATGTCATTTTCAGTCTTTTCTGGCATGCAGATTCATAGTTTGCTTTTTTAACATATGTCATTGAATTTTCCTCATACCATTAAATATTATCCTTCCAGCCAGGAATGGTAGTTTATGCCTATAATTCAACTGTAGAGGAGGCTAAAACTGTAAGTTTGAGGATAGCCCAGGCTATAGAGTACATTTCAAAAAACAAACAAACAAGAAAAACATTCAGCAGGAATAGTAGTATTTCAATGTCCAGGTATTTCCTAATTTACTTAATTAACCCTTTGTATGGTACACATCGATTTTTTTCCAGTTCTGTATGTAACACATAAACCAAAGACTACTACCTGCCATGGAGAATGTAGCTGACCTCCAGTGACTCCCACCTTGCCTTGCTCCCTTCCTGTGAACATGACAGACACCACTCCCATATTTTGTTATGTCACCGGCAAGGGACTCTTGCAGGTGTAATTAAGTAGCTCACTAGTTGGTTTTGATGACTGAGATGGGAGACGATCTGGGTGAGACTGAGTTCACAGGAGCCCTCTGAAAGCAGTTAGGAGAGGAAGTCAAGGTGTGCAAGGCTGCAGAGGAGGCTTGTTCCCTGTTGTGCAATGAAGGAGTCTAGAGACAAGGGCAGGGCGGAGGCTCTGGGTCCAGAGAGTGAGTTCCTGGCAACAGACATCACTACAGCAGCAAGGAGCTAAGTGCTGAATGACCCCAGTGAGAACTGGGAGCTAGCGCTTTCTTGGAGCCTCTAGATAAGAGGCTGTCGTCCTGATTTCTGCCTCTTGAGACCCTGGAGACCCAGATGAGTTTTCCTGGATTCTGACCTATGGACACATGAGATAATAGATGGTTGCTGAGCTGGGAGGGGATCAGTGGATAGGGGTACTCGCTGCCCTTACAGAGGCCCTTGCAGGCCTCCTGTGGAGGCTCAGCTTCCAGCACCCATGTGGTGCCTCACAAGCTGCAGGATATTTGTTCCCATTGTGAACCCCGAGATTCTGAACTGTAAAACCTGTTTGTTGTTTGGTGTGGCTCAGCCCTAGCACACACCTTTAATCTAAGAGCTTTCTGTTCACAGGATTTAATAAAGTTAACCCTAGGTCAAGAGGCGGAGCAAGAAACCATCTGACAGGGATTAGGCTTCCAGTAAGGAGGGACTTAGAGTTGAGGGGAACTTTAGACAGCATGGAGAAGCAGAAGCAGCACTGGAGCTCTTGAGCTTCTTGACCTTTGTCTTCAGGTCTCTAGCTCTTGGGCTTTTAGCTGTTGGCTTTTTTCTCCTCGGCTGTTGGGTGAGCTGGTAGGCCTTTTCCTCCTCAGCTGTCAGCTGAGCTAGCAAGCTTTGAACTTTGAGCTTTTGGCCTTTTCCTTCTGGAACATGAGCTAAGTAGGAAGGTCAGCTGGGTGCTTTCTCTGCCTCTCTGAGCTAGTAGGTTTTTACCCTAGCATCTGGCTCCTCAGTCTTTTTTGGTAAAATAGAATGGTTGGGATTCTCATTCTTTTGAAATGACACAACTGCCTGTAACTCCAATTCTAGATATAATTTTAGACACAGACTTTCTGGGTTAAAAAGTTATAAACATTTTAAAGTTTTTTTTCTCTAATGTTAGTAATTTGCTTTGTACCAATGTATGTGCCTCCTAACAAACTGTGTAACTGTACTCTGGAAAACACTTGATGCTGCCACTCATAGGCAAAGCCAGACATATAAAGGAGGATTGACATTTTCTTATCACCTGTAGGAGTCTTTAGGGAGAGGCCCATTACTTAGTGTAATTGGTTGACATCCAGAAAATCCTCTTTAGCATTTCTCTTCTGCAGAGTGTTCAGGAGGAGAAGACCATTTTAGTAAGAAGCTTACTAAAATGGCAAGCATCTGTAGCAAATATTGGCTACTGCCTTTACTCCTTGCAAAAGCCAATGTTGGCTGTTATTCTGTGGGAGGTTGAATAACATCTATTATTTAGGCAATATTGATGTTTATACTTTTCTAGGGGAAAAGTCTAGTTTGTCTGGTTTACATCACATATTTGATTGTTTTAGGAATGTATTTTGCAGTGAAATTTTTGGCTTTTGTTGTTGAAGAAAATGACACTGTTGACTCAAGAAGGAAGTGGAACAGCTTCCTAAATAAGGTACTGCTCTGCTCATTTCAATTTGATCAAGACCGTCTCTCTGCACTTGTGTATACAGGCTTAGTGTTAAGTATCTAAAGTGCTTCAGGGTTTGAATCTTCTTTCTTTCTTTCTTTCTTTCTTCCTTTCTTTCTTCCTTCCTTCCTTCCTTCCTTCCTTCCTTCCTTCCTTCCTTCCTTCCTTCCTTCCTTCCTT